AAAATTTTATGGTAGGTTTTTGGGGCTAGTTTTCGACCAAAAAATGGTATTTTTTGGATCCTGAGCCCTGGTTTTACAACCAAATGATCTGAAATGCGGTATAAGGGTACCTTGAACATGTGTCTACAGAACAACAGTCACATATTTGGCATACACCACTTCCAAATGACTCAGTTTGGGGACTTTAATGGCTATTTCAGACAAAAAGGGCCAAAGTGCTATACCCGTTCCATGTTCTATCTAAAGAATGGCACGTTCTATCTGCCGTTGGCCATGGAACACGTGTTCCATTGCGGGTTACCTGAGGTCACATTGCACGTACAGTCGAACCGCAGGTCACCGTAGAACGCGTTATTCTCTAAGATACGGCGTTTGCCGGGTCACGATTTGACCTCGTTGCATGGGTGTAAACAACTGCCAATAGTGCAGCAAAAATACCTCAGACCTACACAATGTTTACATTTTTTCACATCTACAGGATTTGCCCAGTACAACCATGTAGATATTTCGTGTATTGCAAAATGACAGCGAGCGCTACGGCCTTCCAAAAATTAGCAATTTTTGGTCAGTTTGTTTGTGCTTGTCTTTTTTACTATTTAACTGGATCCCGTTGGCTAATACCACATTGTGATAGCCCACTTCTTTACCTTTACATTGATACCAATGACCCCTGGTAAATTTTATGGCAAACGGGTTTGCCCCCAAAAAACTGTGACGATGCGCATATCGCGGTGGTCAAATTTACCCAGTTGTAAGCTACTGACACACACCATCCGGAGTTTCCGCTACATTTTGATACATTTCGCGTAATGTCATATATTCGTTTCTTGGTATGAGAAACTGTTTGAATGTGGCTACCACATGCAATATAATACGNATTTAATGTCGTTTATTTCAGCGATAAGCGAAGTCGTTTTTTTTCTACCTTACAAACTTTTGTCGCCTAATGACCCACATTACCGCGTTCTATATGAAAGGTCAATGGATTTGCTTGCGGAAAAGGTATCACACGAACCCAACTACATGTATTTTTTGTTTTCATTTTTCAGGAACATGAAGTAACATTGAAAGGACGTCCCACGAAACCTACTTTATTGCTTTCGTGACAAGGAAGGATTTTTCTTAAGTGTACGGAGTTTTCACGGAGTTTGTGGGAGATACCATAAAGTGAATACCAGTATGTTGCTAGATTTTTTAAAGATTTTATTTCAAGTAATAAGTTGTGTTTTCGAGACGCATATGTTTAGTTGGTCTGGACCAGACGAAGCTCTACAGCCTAGAACCCTCGTAGATAGCGATGACTCCGTCATCAGCGTTGTTGGAGATGTGGAAATGCGCCCTCCGTCCCCTCCTACTGTAATGGTCGTGCCCGAGCAATGGTTGCCGTGCTTCTCGCCGGAAATTACATCACAGTAGCTTCCGGCAGGCATGCCTGTGAAAGATAGCATATGATAATGTTGATTTCATTGAGTCGTCTGTGGCAAAAATTGGGTAATCTTAGCTAAACACAAGTAACGTTAGTATTATTATATTAATTTGAAACTAAATTTTTCCTATAACCTCATTATGTTTACTGAAGGAAAACATATTTATATTTCAGTCCATACCATGGTATGGATGAAATATATTGTGTTCTCTGATGTTTCTTCTCCTTCTTCTTCTCCTTCTCCTGCCAAACAGTCAAAGGGATTCAACTCAGCCATCATTCAGCCAAATGACTTGAAATTTGGCATGGAGGTAGAGTGAGCCAATACCCCCAGGCGCTTTTTCATTTTTTTGATACATGCCTTTGAAAAATTTTTATGAAGGTTTTTTGGGGCATTTTTCGCCAAAATGGATTTTTGGACCCTGAGCCCTGGTTTTACAACCAAATGATCTGAAATGCGGTATAAGGGTACCTTGAACATGTGTCTACAGAACAACAGTCACATATTTGGCATACACCACTTCCAAATGACTCATTTGGGGGACTTTAATGGCTATTTTCAGCAAAAAAAGGGCCAAAAGTGCTATACCCGTTCCATGTTCTATCTAAAGAATGGCACGTTCTATCTGCCGTTGGCCATGGAACACGTGTTCCATTGCGGGTTACCTGAGGTCACATTGCACGTAAGTAGTGCGTAATGACCCACACATTCAATTTTATGTGTCTAAGACCTTCAAAATGTATCAAATCTCATCATTGTTAGTATTTGCATACCTGTAAGAAGATTAGTAAAGCTTTCGAGATTCAATGTGCTTGTTCTTGCATCTTTGTTCTCAATTACATGGCTACTATATAATTCATTTATTTGAGAATCTTTGCCAGTTTTACACTGGGGTAAGTTTGGAATAGTCCACTTTTGCGTGGGAGGGAGATGGACTGAAATATGCTATATTTGCTCCCAAGCAAATGTCGGCCTTTCTAGTTTATGAAGCTTTACTACAGTTGTGTAAGGAGTTGACATAACGGGTAACTAGTATTAACCTTCAAGATGTCAACCCTGAGACCAGACTGTAAGGTTGGAACCACTCACACCGGGAAGGATCCCTGTTCGTTAGGTAAGTGTGGTGGGAACTTCATCTCTCAGGGTCTGCTTTACGCCTTTTTCGAGAGGACGTCCATATTCGTACTCATTCTCACCCGCACCTAAGGAAATATAAGGTTTAAACTAAAAAGGTATACATTTGCAAAGCAAATGCATGATGTTTACCTTCTCATATGGTCTGTCCTGTTAATTCTTACTCAAACACATTCACATATATGGTGACAGGAGTCTACATCCCTGCTATTATAAAATTGCAACATGATGTAACCAAACACCAGTTACCATGTTGAGAGACATTATGGGTCAGAGGTCAGTGTTTGGAACGGAAGAAGAAGAAGAGGAAACTGAGCAAAAATGTGTTTTCCTTCGGTAAACATGACTATCCCAAGGTCTGCCAGGGGTTCGAACCCAGAACCTTCGGATTCGATGTCTACAACCATAGCCAAATGACCATCTTATATTTATTACCTGACATGTTGGTCTAGACTAAATGGTCGTCCTGATCGGGTGATCATTCTGGTTTGGTTCATAGTATGTATCGACTCTAAATACATTGTGTCCCATGTCAATTTCTGCAGGCATTTGCCCTCCATACGCTGGAATGTGCCGGCCCAGAGAGCTTGAAGGGAGATGTTCTAAGGTCGGTCCCTCTGAACAACCTTACATGCGACTGTCCGCACACATCCGCCCCAACCATAGACACCAGAGGGAGCTCCACAGTGGTCCGTGTGGGACAAGGGGCAGTACTCAAGTGTAAGGTAGGTAGTATTAATAACGATGTAAGTTTTGTCATATGATGATATACGTGCTATCAAAATGATAACAATAGCTACAGTTTTGAATAACACGGACAATTTATGCCCTGTGAATAATGACAAAGTGTGCCGCACGGGGATATCGAACTCGGAGATTTGAAGAATTTAAAAAGAAAAGGGGGAAGGGAGTAGTGTGGGGTTAAAGCGCCACCAACTGACCTAACAGGTCCGGACCTTTTAGCCTAGCGGTTGGTTCGTCGAGTTCTCGAGCTGACGGTCCGGTTCGATTCCCGGGCGCCAGGGGTTATGGATTTTTTGTCAACCCTAATGTTTCAATTTTAATATGCACCCTCTATGTATGAACCCTTCCCGTCAGGTCACGGGCTGCCCTGAAGCAGCGGTCATCTGGACGACCCCTACCGGCGTGAGTCTGACCTCTGACTCCCAACATCCGGGTCTCCACGTTCTGTCAGACGGAAGTCTAGTCGTCGTGTCAGCGTCATCAGACGACTCGGGCACCTACAGCTGCATGGCGGTCAACTACCTCGGGAAGGCCACGGCAACGGTTCGTCTCAAGGTCACAGACGGGTCTCAGACCACTACCGACACGGGTTCGACTACGCCGTGACCAGTTAGACTCAAGAAGACGGTGGAACTCACACATATATCATATACACCTTCGAACCTGTTCACCAACGCTGCGCTTTTTTGCTTGCTTTGACAGTTTTGACAAGGGTTTTAACTTAGAAAATCCCCTGTCACAAATTCAGGTTGGCTGAACATTTGAGTCAAATTTTACTGCCAACCACGCCCCTGTATAATATCCTTGGCCCAACACGCTACCGCTACGCCATACGACATTAACGGTTCCTGTTTAAGTGGAAGTACGGTGTGAGACCACGCAACATCACGTGAACACTATGTGACGTCATGATGTTTACCTGGTCGACTGGTTTTTGGCCACCTGAAGGGGGTTCCTACAACATGCCCTAGTTCACTTGTATTTGCAAATACTAGTAATAGTTTGTAAACAGGACACAGTGGCAGGTAGTCTTTGTGCACCTTTGCTGAAAAGGTGCTGGACCCGGAAGAAAAGACACAGAAGCACAGAAGACAGTTACATGGACTGGTGTTTGGTACGCAGTGCAGTGTCAAGAAGGTAAAACTGAATGTGCGTCATTTAGTAGTGTTGACCTTGACAGTGGATTTGTACAAACTTCACATGATAGTGATAACACTGGTAGCTCTGGCGGTGAAGTACTTTAACCAACAGCCGAGACTCGCTTGTATTTTCTTGTACTTCGGAACAAGATGCCTTAGTATCGTCTGAGAATTTTCTGTTTATTTACCTTTTCCACCAGCTGTCCCTCTTTAAGCCTATTGGTGTTTGTGCGTATCTTGTTCGTAATGTATACGGAGTCAGCCATGTTGTCTACTACCTTTTTGTGCGCCGGTGATGATTGAATTATGATGTACAAACTACAAGAGGGGTCAAGAAGACTTCGGAGATTTCATACCTCCAGGAAACATTTAAAGCTTCTATAATTGTTTTATCTTTGACAGTATGAAAATAAGGTTGTTATAAGCATAATCTATTTTGATTTATGATTTTCGCAACTCAAACTGCACATATTTGTAACTGAAACTCGGTTATCATCATTTGGCAAGGCAAGACTTAATTCAACATTAAGAAGAAACAGAACTTGACAGAGTTGGCACAGGGGTTTTGATTGACAACAACCTGACCGGGGGGGGGCATGGCGGCTACACACAAACAGACAGACAGATCAAAAACATTAACTCCATTTTTCATGGAGGTAATAAGGAAACCAAATTAGCTGCTTTGTCCACAGATGCCGTTAGCTGCGACGATGTTGTTGTTTGGGGTCATCAGTCTGTTGACCCTGATTCCCGCGCATGCGTGTCCGTCGGTGTGTCGATGCTTTGCGGATGTTCCCAGTGTGCATTGCAACCGACCCACGTTGGACCATATCCCACAAGGCATCCCGAACACCACGACAACTCTGCAGATGAAAGGTAGGACTATAATATAAGATTTCAATTACACGTCTACACCTGTCCAACTGGTCAATCAGTAAAACATACTTATGAAATAAAGCCTAAACTTTAACTGCCAACACTACAATGAATTAGTAACCGTAGTAGCGGGTCATACGTGTCAGATGACTTGTGTCGCCCCCCGTCTCTGTTCAGGCCCAAGGTAGGTATATGAACTCTCGTATGTAGACCGCCTACTTCACTCCTCTTTCAAAGAATTCGAAGTCCGATTCAGAATCGAGGATTTGGGGTAAGTCCAAATTCATTGTAGTGTTGGCAGTTTAAGTTTAGTTTTTATTTCATAATGACTTGTACCAACACAGAAGAACTTTCATACTTCGTAAACATACTTGATAAGCTGTAGAAAGCAGATATAGTTTTAACGTCCAGAAAGAGAGTATATCTACTACTATCTACTAGTATCTATTTATCTATATATCTGTCTACCTGTTGTCTATCTATTTGTGTCTATCTATCCATATATTTGTAGATATACACATGTAAATAGGTAGATAGATAGCAGAATTCGCCGAACACAGGCAACCCAGCCAACTTAACGCCTGTCTACTCCTACCATTGTTGGGGGATGTTGGACTAGTGTTCGTAAGGCAAAATTCGTGAATATGTGACAGGGTCTTAATGTTACAGTATTGACAAATCACAAATTAGCCTTGTGCACTGGTCACATCTCTACTCTTACCATCCAGGTACTCGGCTTGTATCTGTGAGACAGGGAGACCTGTCAGGACTGCCCCTCCTCCGTACCCTGTACCTGTATGATAACCAGGTCCACACCATACAGGTCGGAGCTTTTGACAACAATCCGAATATCCAGAGTCTTGCAGTTAGCAACAACAACATTTCGGAAGTTTCTCCGGGAGTTTTCAGGGGCCTGAACAGTCTGAGAGAATTAGACATGAGGGCGAACAAGATCACGTCCATCCCAGCTGGAGTGTTTAACGGCCTGCCTAGTCTTCGGGTAAGTTCTAACACCTACATTCGTCACAAGATTATTATAGAGCAGGTATGACTTCTGTACATGCAGGCAGTAACGCTACTGTTTCACCACTGTACGTTAGTTCTGTGTCATCGTAAGTGAACACGTTGTTTATTACCTTCTCCAAGAAGGTTATGTTCTCTAATACTGTAAAGACGATAACTCGAGAAGTCTCGGATGCATGGATTGTCTGGATATTTGGCACGTGGGTAGGTCTTGACGAGACGTAACTATGAAAAGATTTCGGACCCCGTAGCTCTTAGATTTTATTTTACTGCTGCGAATCTTCTGCTCTTAATACCTCATGATTTAGACATGCTAGGCTATAGGGTCATGAATTTTGCATGGTAGATAGCTCTCATATATTTGGGAAAAAGTGGCGTGAGTTTGGGCCCCCTAGCAGCTTGTTTTGGAACTGCAACGGCAGCTAAAACTCCCAGCAATGATATGAGTAATTTGTACAACTTCTACTTTCCTTTCAGTGAATATTGTGACGCTGTAATTTCAATGAATAAAAAAATGACTGCTTTCATACAAGTTGTATCTACTTTCTTCTTTGCAGGTCGTGCGGCTTTTGGGGAATCGGGTGAAGACAATGTCAGTGGGCGCTTTTTCTAACCTGTCCGCCACGATTCTGTATAGCCTCGAAAGTAACAGAATAGAGAGGATTGCAAATGGTGTATTCGGGGGTCCACAGGGAGCGACCACCATGATGCTGAACAACAACAACATCTCGTTGATAGAGCCGGGAGCTTTGTCAAGTTTTGTCCGCATGACCCGGCTATGGATCAACGGCAACCGCATATCCACTCTACAAGGTGTATTTACAGGTCTGCGTGAGATGACACAGATATATGCTCAGTACAACAGCATATCGGCTTTGACCGAAGAAGATTTTTCCGGATTGACAAAACTGCGAGAGTTGAGTCTGAACAAGAACAAGATTTCCACCATCGCTGGAAGAGTGTTTGGCGATCTGTCAAGCTTACAAACACTCTACCTTGCGGACAACGAAATCAGTGACATTGGAAATGATACTTTCTACGGATTGTTCAACCTGAGGTATCTATATATGTCAGGAAACAAACTGGAAACTGTCGCGGGCGGAGTGTTCGCAAACTTACCTAACCTGTACTTCGTAACGCTGAGCAATAATAAGCTGCTCCGCATGGAGGCGCACCTACCCCTTGCACTGCAGTTTCTGTTCCTCCAGTCAAACGCGCTGACCGGAATCCCAAACACTAACATGAGCCAAGTACGAGAACTTGACCTGTCCTTCAACCCGATTGACGTTGTACGGAATGACGATCTGGTGGCCTTGAGAAATGTGGAAACGTTTCGCTTATCCGGAATCAAATATTTCCGGGAACGAGGAGACGTCGATCCGGATGTTTTTAACGGACTTGTTGTTTTTAACAACATCTTGGCATTGGGGTTGGCCAATAACAGTTTGACCAGAGTTCCAACGAGCGCATTGCGTCATCTCTGGCGACTAACGTCTTTGGACTTGTCCGGTAACGAGTTCACGACTGTGGGTCACGGCGATTTCGACAACCTGACAAATATTCAGGATCTGGATCTTAGGTAGGAATTTTTATTTATGAAAATGAAAACTTGAGATGTTGTTTTGGTAGCTCTCTCGTTCTCTCTCTGTCTCTCCCTCCCTCTGTCTCTCTCTTTCCTTCTCTCTCCATAAGCTTCCTTTTTTTACTATTTTAGCATGTTGATCATTGTTCAATAAGGCCATGTTGATTTGATTATATGGATGACATCCTCCGGGAGCCCCAAAACTGATGCGCGCGTGCGAATAAAAAAAAAGTTTTAGCAAAAAAGGTCTTTTCATTATGAAATCTACGTGGTCATGAGGGTTGAGCAAATGGCACAGAATATGGTTTGGCGAATAATCTAGTCTTCAAGTTCATTTCTTTACAATTTCGTCTTTTTTCGTTTGATTTTGGCATTTTACGACATTGGTATAGTTTTTATCAATTAATTTTTTTGGTAACTTATGGTATATTTTTGCTCATTTTGCAACTGTTTTGTACGATTTACAGTATGGTTGAAAACTTTTTTTTTTGGAAACGGCCGAAAATTCATGCGCGCGCGGATGTCATCCATATAATCAAATCAACATATGGCCTAATGTATCAAAATCAGAATGGATCTATTCCAGCGCCAACAAGCTGACAACAGTTCCACGTGAGGCCTTGGCAAACATGTCTTCACTCCGAAGCCTGGTGCTGTCAGACAACCCGATCGTGTATGTTGGACCAGACGCCTTCGGACCTCAACTCACTGAAGTTAAGCTTCAAAACACCAAGCTGAGAATCATAGGTGTGTACGATATAAAGCACCCAGTCTATAGTGGTTAGAGCGGGCTCTCTTGGGGGCTGTAGGTCCTCAGCTCTTCGCCGCCTGACACAATAATTGGGTCCGCCAGTAGGTTTAGTCTCCACCAGATTCCTTTTGTAGACTGATAAATAGTAGAAATAGGCCTAAAAAGAGAATATCATGGGCACAGGAGCTGGCCACCCTAGAATCTCCTTCTTGCCGCTACGCAAGATGTACGCTCGTACTAGGGGCAGGGGATATAGCAATAACTATAATGGCACGATGCTAACGAAGTGTCTAGTCAACGGCATGTTCGAACGTGACAGCCGATACGGTCAAAAGGCGTCATCGTGAATTAATGTACAGTAAGCATAGTGGGCGTATTTTTCTCTGCAAATTGCGTAATAAAAACATAAAACGTTCTGAAGTCATCATGCTTGTCAGTTGATGAGGAATGCATGTTTAATGTCTGCACTTCAGACGGAGCTGCCTTCAACAGTTCTCCGCAGGTCAACCGCCTCACACTGAGCAACAACCACCTGCAGTACCTTCCCGAGACCGTCTTCCAGCCGCTGACCTACTACGGAGACCACGAGACGCTGGACCTGGCCGGTAACCCCTGGGTGTGTGACTGTCAGCTGGCAGGTTACTATGCCTGGCTCAAGACAAAGGTGAGAGGGAAATACCCTCCAAACAGAGGTTTGGGTTTGGGGTTATTTTTGACGTGTTTTTAAGCTTTTTTATCGAGGTTTCTTTTTAACACTGGAATGTTATTTTCACCCAACCCAATATTGTTTTTAATTTTAGGCTTTTTTTATAATTTTTTTTTTTTAAATAGTACGTCAAGCCAAGAAAATCCAGAAATAGACCAGTATAATTTTGTAAAGACCGTATTGTTATCTTTGCCATACATTATACCATGTACACTGTCAAGCAATAAAGATCCTTCATTCATTCCTATTCCCAGGGGTGGGCGATCCCCAGCCTGTACTGCACGTCTCCACCATCACTGGCAGGACAGTCCCTTCGACGCCTGGCGAACAACTCGCTGAACTGCAGCTGTGAGGCAGTGGAAAGTCCCCGGATAGACACAGCAGGAAGCACGACTTGGGCGGCCGCCGGGGACGAGGCCATTCTGAGATGCAAGGTGTTTCTACTAACTAATCTCTGCATTATCAAAACAGCTCCTTGAATTCAATTTGCCTCAACTTTCGAAAGAAAATATACTAATTTTGGTCAGCTTACAACATTGTTCTTGTTTTCTACATCCAAAGCCATTTCAGGGTGACACAACGAGAAAAAAAATTTAGGATAAGGAAATATGTCTGATATATTCATATATACATATTCATACATATTCATATATATATATATATATATATATATATATATATATATATATATATATATATATATATATATATATATATATATATATATATATATATATATATATATATATATATATATATATATATATATGCTATGGGATAGGCCTACAGATCGGAAAATTGACTTTGACAGTAAAAAATTGCATTGACTTCCTAAACTTCTCTAAGTTTTTTATACTAAATACTGTCCATCCACTGCAGGTCAATGCCTGTCCAGACGCTGCAGTACTGTGGACAGCCGCTAGAGGGATCTCTCTCACCTCCCAATCTGAATTCCCGAACATGTACGTCCAGGCGGACGGCACACTCGTGATCCCGGCCGTCACTCCCGGAGACGCGGGTCGCTACACCTGCATGGCGGTGAACGCCTTCGGGACAGCCGAGGCCGAGATTCGTCTCGAGGTAACCGTAGGTCCGACCGGCCAGGCCGTGGGAATACACACATTTAACCATCCTGTCTGGATTTTCGCGGCAGTCCACGTGCTCGTGTTTTATTGGTACATATCTGGAGTAGACATCTGACTGTAATAGTTAGTTACCTCCATGAAAATGGAGGTGTTGCGTTTCTTATGTCTGACTCTCTCTCTCTCTCTCTCTGTATGTGTGTGTGTGTGTGTGTGTGTGTGTGTGTGCACGTGTGCGTGTGCGTTTTGTGCATGGTCGACACAGTAACCATCACACATGATCTAAATATTTCATGGAGGTTTGAGATCTCCACATTCCTGTCACTATTTGCCACTGAAGGCACTAATGGCATAAATGTACAATAAAGGTATTTTTCTTTTATCAATTATCGTGAAATCCAAACCTGTGCGATAAACGTAATGAACTTTGTGGGCGCCAGCTTAAAGACTGAATAAAGAAAGACGGACAGGGCTTCTAGCATTCTAAAGAACTGATAAGATTATGCATGGATACTTGAAGACGTCTGATACATGAAGATCCGACGCTGGATATTATTACTAAGATAAGATACACGACTATATGGTAAACAAGATGAGATAGATTGTCCCACTTAACTTCTTCATGGTTCTAAGTACTTAGTCTCTTCTCCTGTCGGTAGGGTGTTCTATATGCCACAGGGTATTCTGTGTCTAAAGCTCCTGTCAATCATTCAGAACCTTGCCCCGAACACCAGCCGACCAAGGTTGGCTGAAGCCCCTGTCACACATTCAGAACCTTCCCCCGAACACCAGCCGACCAAGGTTGGCTGAAGCCCCTGTCACACATTCAGAACCTTCCCCCGAACGCCAGCCGACAAAGGTTGGCTGAAGCCCCTGTCGACACACATTCAGAACCTTCCCCCGAACACCAGCCGACCAAGGTTGGTCAAAGTTGGACTTGTTTTACCTTGTCCTTCTATCCGAAATCATTGGAAAATGAAATCGTCTTCAATACAAATCCTAGCTACCCGTCTTTCTTCATCTTGGACTCTAAAGACCACATACACCTGTTTGTGGAAGTACATGCCTTGTGACAGATACAGAGTAGTGCTTATTGTGCCGGAGTATATTTCCCTTCTCCCTTTACGTGCTGTAATCTAAATCATTGGTCTGAGCGATATCACTTACGGGGTCTCTCAATCCCCTACACAATCTCACACCTCCAGTTAATGCCTGGGATGTTGTGAGGATGGCGGGATGTGAGATACCGAGGGCCATTTTCCGCTCAACACGATTATCAATCGATATGGTAGCCTGGGCGCCAGACTGTTTCCAGGGCCTTTATACACAGGCCAGTTCCTCGGCTCCGGGACCAACATGCCCCAAGGAAATTGTACCGCAAACCCTG